TTTTTTTTTCATTTCCCATCCACCATTAAAACCTATATATACGCTTCAAAGTTTTTAGATGTTGAACTTGTTTGGGTTTTCTTATGGCTCGTTTTACTATGCATTGGTATTGTAGTATGAGACAATGAGTAAATAGGCTGTCTTTTGAACCGGCTTCAATTTTCCTACATTCATTTGAGGTTGACGAAGTTTTATACAAAGCTCACTTACTCGTAGAGAGGTTGATTACCTTACAGTCACTAGCTGAAATATATAACCAATTCTTTGACTATACAGTCAGTATCTGTGTTAACTTGGATATATATGCAGTGAATCTGAGAATCCTTGAATATGTTTGGATATTAATGAAGGTGCTGGATTTTTTGCCAAACAATGCAGGTTTAGGTATCATGAAGAATATTTATTTGGACCCTGCATCATCTGCTTCTTAAGTCATTGGAATATTGTTAGACTTCTCTTGTCTTGTTTAAATTTCAGTATGCAGAAGAGTGTCAGTCTATCCAAGCATAATTCTCTGAGACTGACAACTCAGCAATCTCTTCGTCGTCTGGGTCTATGTTCTCAAGTGTCGACTGGACAACAAACTTCACCTGTTGTCTTCCCTGAAAAACGTAATAGCAGAGGAAAGGCTGCAAGTGCTAACAACGCTAATCCTAATGAGGCTAAGAGGGATGAACATAGGATTGATGTTGGAGATGAGAAGTCTGACTTACTAGGATATGAAGTATTCACAGGAAAGCTCTCTCTCGACAAAAGAAAATCTTGTCAAAACCTTGAGGTACAGACTTCGGAGAGTTCAAACTCGGATGCAGTTGATGCTAAATTAACGAGCAAGGCACTGATTTGGGGCTCTAACATACTGCGGCTAGATGATGTGATTTCGGTACATTCCTTTAGATTCTCTGCTGACTTTGCCTGAATATGTATGCTGCTTTCATTTCTAGTGACCCCCTTTTAATTTTATCTTTGCAGCTGTCGTGCTGTGTTGGTCTTAGACATTTTACTGTCCATGCATATCCTGTTAGAAAGGGTTCGTGTTGCCTTTTCACTAAAAGTGGGAGAAGTAGGAAGGACTTTCGTTTTTTCGCATCCACCTCAGACGATGCCATTCAGTGGGTCAATGCTTTTGCTGATCAACAATGCTATGTTAATTGCTTGCCTCACCCAATGGCGTCTAAGAAACCGAGCTCAGATCTGGTATTCAACGAGTTTCCTCCTGAGTCATATATAAGATGTAAAAGTGCACCCAAAATGCTCGTCATTTTAAACCCTCGATCCGGACGTGGTCGATCAAGCAAAGTTTTTCATGGTCTGGTTGAGCCTATATTCAAGGTAGGTTGCTTTGGACCCAATATCTTGTTAGAATTTGTATTGCCTCAGCATTTTCCATTTGGTTATAGACATAGTGGTTACAGGCACATATGGCATAGAGTTAGAGAGATCAAACATCAGACATGTTTTAGGCTTCAACAAAAAGAACACTCCACACTAACCCAACAGACTTAGATCCAGGAACACCCATCCCTATCCTCCACCCCCACCCTCATCTTGCGTTCTTGTATCCTGTATGCTTTTTTTTCCTAGTCTTCTTTTCCTTCCTTTTTTCATTGTTCTTCTCTTATTTTCCTTTTATTCCTTCAGCTGCAGACATGGAAAAAGTGTCTGTCAGTTCAACTTTGTCTACCGTTTTCTTGAATATCGCAGTCCTTGGATACATTATTTTAGGGAGTGAAGCTTGAAAGTATCTCCTGCAGACGTAGTGGGTCAAATGCTTTTGCTTGTGAGGATCTCATTTCTTCTGATTATTTCTGATCAGGAGTTTGATAAGGAAAAGTAGAATGCTGGTGTTTTTTTTTCTTCTCTATTCTCTAATGTGACTCTCAATGCATCTTTTCTACCATTCTCTTGAATATAGAAATCTTTGAATACAACTATTTTAGGGAGCTGAGCTACTCCACGTGCAGTGAGTAAAGTGCCTTTGCTTGTTGTCCTTTCTAGTTATATATTATAAGGAGTACAATAAAGAAAAGAGGGGAGCAAGTATTTTTTCTTCCTTGTTCTTCTTTTTCCAGTTATACACTATATATATAGGTCATTAGATTTGTTGTAGAAACATAGTTGGAGGAAATGCTCATGATAAATTGAATTGAGCATTTTATTATAAAGACGAAATATTGACTATTACTTTGTTGAAAAGTTTATGTACAGTAATCCTGATTTAGTCATGCTTTCTGCTTCTAGTGTATCGTTAAAAAAAAAAAAAAAAAAGAGAATGCAGATTATTTTTATTGCTAAAGCTCAAGAGTGACCGTTATCTGGGTTTTATGAATTAAATTGACTTCAAAACCTTATGGCAAAATGTAAAATATATGAGAATTGACATTTATATGTGAAGGCAATCGTAATGGACTAATGGTTCCATTTTGGTGTGTGTGGACTGTGGAACAAGCAGACTAAGAACTTCTGTACATCTTTAAAGCAGTTAAACCAATCCCTGTTAAAACTCTTATAGAGATGGAACTTAGAGTTGGGTAAGATATCGTTGTGATAATCTTTTAGTTACTGTTTCTTCATGTTGTACATTACAGCTCTCTGGATTTGAGTTGGAAGTTGTTAAAACACAATCTGCTGGTCATGCTCGAAAACTTGCAGCCAGTGTTGATTTCAGTACATGTCCTGATGGTACGGTTGACTTTCGTGCTTTATAACATCTACTTGATTTTTTATATCCTTCCCTTTGCCTGTTCGCTCATTTAATCTTTTTGCAGGTATTATATGTGTAGGAGGTGATGGAATCATAAATGAGGTATGTACAAGTTTTTCACTTTTTTCCTTACCTGCCTTTTCTTTTTCGCTTTCGTGGATGAGGGGAAATAGCTTTAGATTTGATCACATTTTTATATTTTGTATAGTTTCTAATATTTGAGCATTAGATTAAAAGATTTTACCTTCACTTTGTACTGTTATGCAAGCATTCGGACTTCTCAAATGTGCATTTGGTTCTAGGCAGTTATTGAAATGGTATATGAACTAATTTTACATGCAAGTTCTGCAGGATGTACCCTGCACATTAAATTGAATGATGAGCATAAAAGAAAGTACATCTCTTCAATCTTATTACATTTTCAACTTTTATCGGAGTTGTTTTTTCAAGTTCATTCACAAGTTGGAGATTTCAAGTTTCTATCAATTGTGGGGACAGGTCAATATTATTGCTCCTTAGAATAGTCGGGACTTAGTAATGTAATAAGGGTTGCTAATTATTATTTCCGAGCATTTCTATTCATTCAGCATTACTGAAGGTGCTCCTTTATATCTACATCTTACAAACTTCCATGAACTTGCTTTTTCCACTAGTGTCTGTGATTATGATGATTTTATGAGAATATCTGGATAGCTGTCGTTCATATGTTGTGGATTCTGAGTTATATCGGCTGCACTGTGCGAGGAGCCTCCACTTTTTTTTTTCCATTTTTGTTGACTCATCAATTTCTTGCTTGTTTACTTTTGATTACTGTAACTCTGTAATGGTCATATCCAAATACAGGTTTTGAATGGTTTACTCAGTAGAGAAAACCAGAAAGAAGCTATTTCAATCCCGATCGGAATCATACCTGCTGGTTCTGATAATTCATTAGTCTGGACGGTTCTTGGAGTTAGAGATCCAATATCTGCAGCAATAGCAATAGTGAAGGTAACTATGTAGCGTTCACCCACTTTGCATTATGTTGCTACGTTTTCTATTTTATTGAAGCACTCGTTGAAGTATGTTTTGTTTTTGTGTATATGTTGTGTTTGGTAAACCTAGCTGAAAAATATACCTGGTAGCTGATAAATTACTTCTAGCTTATAAGTGAATTTTGAACTTATAGCTGATAGTTTATAGCGGATGACTGAAAAGCTAGCTGATATAATAAAAGAGTTTGGTAAAATCATTTGCAAAACTACCTAAGGAAGCTTATGAAATAACCTCCAACTTAAAAAAAAAAAAAAAAGGCCAGTCATCTTACCAAATCAAGCTTATTTGAATACAGAAAGCTTATAAACTAGATAAGCTATAAGCTAGCTTATAGTGCTTACCAAACACACTCTCGCAGGGACAGGACAACAATTAGGGTGTATAGAAGAAAGTTGTTTGTATTAATGACAACACATAAAGTTGTTTGTGCTAGTTCATCGTACGATTGAAGTGTGTTTGGTGTTCCTTTGAGCCACCATGGACTTAAGTGAGAGCCTTATGCTCTGGTTGCCAAATAATTTTCTTTCAAGCATGAAATGCATGATTATTTTTTACCTGGGATTTATAGTCCTCGACTGCAGCAGGGACCATCAAAATTGGCTCCCATTCAATGGTTAAAAGTATTTCACCATACCTGCATACTATCCCAATTTATGAACCTCAAAAGTGCAGTCCAATAGTCACCCTAAAGTGTCTGAAAATCGTATAGTTGTTTTCATGGTCCCAATTTTACTTCCCATTGAGTTTCCTGCTCCGTGTAGAAAGATTTGCCAGTTGTCCCGGACAAGATAAACGCTACATACATCTGGCACATTAAGACTTGCATATTTTATGGTTAATAAGTATTGCTTCTCCATTATACTCTTTCACAAGGTTAAAGATTTACATGTTTGATATGCAAAAATTCATTTGTTTTTGCATTATAATTTATCTGGCAGCTTTTTCAGGAATGCCCTGTGCTATTCTGTTTTTATACTTTCCATAAAGCATAGACTTTATTTTCTTTCTTTCTTTCGTTCCCTTTCTTAATGTTTTTAGGGAGGTCTTACTGCCACTGATGTTTTTGCTGTCGAGTGGTATCATACTGGAGCCATTCACTTTGGGATGACAGTAACATACTTCGGTTTTATAAGCGATGGTAATTCCTCTGCGGCTCATGTTTATTTGTTTGCTAATGTTTTAAGATGGTTTCTGATTCAGTTGGATGTAATTGTTTCCTGCTTGCCAGTTATTAAATGAGCTTGGGTAGCTTATACTCAAAAACTGGCCTGAAGGAGAGGGTCCTTGACCCATATTTTTACACAATTATAGCCTGGTAACTTAGCAATGTGGGGCGAACATAACTTCTGATACACGTCAATCTCTTGAAACTTAGAATGTATTAGGTCTTGGATGGTGGTGTTTGACCTATGACCTATTGGAATAACTTATAATAAACCTCTTGATCCTACCACTCCCTGTTACTCAATGAATGACATTGCTACATATTGAATTTTCGCCGTGAACAATCAAAATAATGCTAGTTTTTTTCCTTTAAAGTTACGCTTCAAGAAAGTGATATATTGGAGTTCAGGTCAATATCATCTGTAATTCTGTCTGCTTCCCTCTACAACGATAATATGATATGACAAGGTATTGCAACAAATGAAATTGTGAAAATACACTAGATCTATTCTTTTTTTTTTTTTTTT